CTGCTGATGTTGGATTTTTTGATTTTTTGATTTAGTCAAGGGTGAGAGATATTGGGGAAATTTGTAAATGCTACTGTTATGATTTGGTAGATTGTCAGAGTGGCTTCCCAAGAAAAAATGAGTCAACATGTACAACAGCCTGATCATTTACACATTAAAGGTGACGACGGTCAGGTCATCCTAACTGAAGCAGCCTGTCAGTACGGCACCGCTCCCAGCTTATCATCCAGTGCATTCCCAGTAAGAGACATGTTTATGACCCAGTGCAGCCACAGCTGAGTCCAAGCACAGTGAGAGAGATAAGGAATGGGGGGTGTGTGTCTGTGTGTGTGTGTGTGTGTGTGGGGGGGGGCAACAATAACACAACAGACCCTCAAAATAAAACCCCCGAGCCTGGAATAGTTCCTCAGCTCCGCCAGGCTGGCTGCACATAACACATATAACACACGTAACACGTGAATGTGACATGTGTTTCTTGTTTCTCATGTACACACACACACGCACGCACGCACACACACGCACACACACACACACACACACGCACACGCACACACATGCAAGTGCACCCTGTAACAGCCACCCGTCCCAAAATACATATTGATTGTTCCACCAGAGAACTGCTGTAGGTACTTTGAGGTCGTGTTGCCAAACTAGACGTTGTGTTGGAAAAACAGTTGAGAGAGGTTCAGGCTTGAGTCGATTTTCGTCCTTCTAGTTGAGATGTGATGTAGGAGATATTTATGCTGGAAAAGAAGTTCGCTGGCCAGAGGTTTCATTTATAACAACTGAAACTTCGGATCTCTCCTTCACCATTGTTTCAGTGTTGAAAATACACATAAAAATAGTAGTTGTCATGATACTTACTCTTTATAATTCTTACAGTTTCTGCCCTGTCACCTTGCCTCGAGTTTGTACTTTGTGTCTCTCCTAAAGATAGTGTCGAGGTGTAGAGCGACCTCTGCTGGGCGGTCAGCTCACCTCCAGCACACATTCCTCACATTAAAGTGGAAGTGAATCTGGGTGTTGTTGGATACGCTGAAGTACGCTTGGTCAACAAATAATGGCTCAAAACAGGAGAAAAATGAACAGACACTGCCCTCTGAAATAACACATACTGGTTAACTGTGACTCCAGGTTGTGTGTTTTGTGGGAGGCACAAAAGAAGCAGCGTGACTTCAGTCCCGCAGAAGGAAATAAATGTGTGTATATGAACCATGGCTGACTGACACCAGGATCCTCTTACAGCCGCCACATGCTGGCACAGAAGGAACCTTAAGATGCGTGTCAGCGTGAGCGCTGTCTGTGGAAGTCCAAATCAGAAACGTAAAAGTCAGATTCAGTGCAACTGTTTCTCCTCACACCGAGCCTCTCGTGTCTGGTTAAAGACGTGTAACCCTGTAACAGCCAACTGAAACAAAAACGCTGCGTGGCTGGAAGTCACTGCTCTGTGCTCTGAGCTCAGTGTGTCACCTCACAAGTTTCTCCACAAGGTGGGGCAAGACCACCTGTTCTGTTGTTGCAAATCCAGTGCAGTGAGAACAACACAGAGATATACTGTATGTATATATATATAACTCTTTAAGCAGTCACAACTACCATGGGTGATCAGTGGTAGGGAAACCCTGGGATATGTTAGTGTTTTTAAATGAAGAATGACTTACTACAAGATTACTGTTTTAGACTGTACTGAAATGTTGTTTCCTCTCACTTTATGATTTGATTTATGTGGCACAATTTCACAGACAAAAAGCATTTGTACATAAAAACAGGATAAAAATACCAGGAAACTTCCAGTGAGGTTAAACATGTCTTTTTGATGCTGCAAAGGACTTTGTGTCAAGTTTTACTGATGTTATTTTGCAGATCAGTTTGGTTAGCCAGGAGAAATAAAGTAAGAACACATAACCTTGCCTGACTACACTATGAGCTTCCTGTTTTCAAGAAGATTTTTGTTTTGCTTTTTGAAGCCCAGAGCCTGAAGCCCTGTGGCCTCATTGGACTGTTTATACTCAGTGAGAAGCTGAAAGCGTCTTGGATGTTTCTCTAAAGCGAAGAGAAAACAAGACGAGACTGAAAAGTAGTTGAAAAGTAGTGAATGTACCTTTTTCTGACCGATATCTGATATTTTATGTCAGAATAAACTTGGTACAGACACACACAAACACTTACATGACACTCCTCCCCGGCAGCTTATTCTCATTAGCAGAGGTAATGTTGTCATAGGAGCCGGCAGCCAGCTGGGCCGTAGAAGTCATTCTGCTGGTGGATCTGGTTACACAGCGGCCTCACAAACACCTCATTCTCAGCAAACCTCCATCCCGCCGTCTGTTTCGAGGTCCAACATGTTTCACAAGCATGTTGCACAAGGAGGGAGGAGAGCATTGGTGCGAAGGGTCGGGGGTTTACCATAGTTTAACCACAAGGACAAAACTTAAAATATCTAAATATGATACCAGCAATCACAGGGTGATAAACCAAACATTTATGTCTCGGTATTAGAAAATGGTCACAAAGAAAGATTGGTGGAAAAGGTGGGAGTAGGAAGGTGGAGTGAGTAATGGTATTCAGGGGTTTAAGTACAATTTTAGTAATTATTACCATGATTTTAAACTTTAATCAACTATCATTTGTATATAAATTGGACCCAGGAAAATAAACACTTATCATAGTGAAAGGTCTCCAGAGGCAAAGTCATCCCACACAGGAACCGAGTCATGAACCTTTTTGAATCACTGGGGAAGGGTCACTCAATAGAGAACAGGGAAACACAGCCAGAAGGACACAATGGATGGGCACCTATTAATTAACGGGACAGGTGGAAGTGTTCAGTGCGTTGCCAGACAGGTGGCAGCAGGTGAAAGCAGCGGCCTCATGCTGCTCAGCTTCTCGGGAAATCCTTATGCTTAGCTGCTGGAAACTGGACGGCTCTGACTAACTGAACCTGACCTTCTGCGGGAGGGAAAAAAAAGTGAAGTGCATTCTCTGTGGGTGTTGGAATACACCAGAGCGGTTCTTTGTAAGTTTTTCTGTTTATGACTTTAATCAACAAAATCTCGGTGTGTGGCGAGCGTCCACTTGCTTGAACCCAGGATTGCTCCAAGTATGAGGCCAAAACAGTGTGGACTGACGCCTTTGGGTCTGTAACAAGTCGCTTCACCCACGTGAAGATGTTCATGTGTGTCAGGGTCTTGTTTATGTGTCAGTGATACTGCACTGCTGTCAATGTGAATGAATACAGTCACACAGAATACAGAGTAGTTTAGGATAATCGCTTAATAAACTGTGGGATGTAACAGAAGCCTGATTTCATTTAAGTTGGTAAGTGAGCTTCTTTTGTCTCCACAAATGCAGAGGAATCTTTTCCCTATGGCCTTGAATTTTTTTTCATATTTTAGAACAACTGAGCCATAATGTAGTGCCACGTCAGGGCACTCATCCTCATTCAGTGTGGAAATGAAATAATAAGAGCCCACAGCTGGTACTAACTGATGTCTTCCAGCTGGTATAAAAATCAGCCAATAGTAGATTACAGTTTCAGTATACACTTTAAGTCACACTGAGGCAAGTCTATATGTTAAAGGTCAAAATTAGTTGATATTTAACCAGAACCTTGTGTTGGAATGAAATGAAAACAAAATTTAAATAACAACACACCCCTCTTATTAGGGTATATCAGGACAGAGCTGGAGCTTGAGTGGAGACAGTTCAGGCAGCAGCTTTCAAATGAACCTGGTCAACTCTAGAAGCTGAAGATCAGGCTGAAACATCTGACTCTGCCTTCACGTTCTCACCACGCCTCCACTTCTGCCAACTCAGTTTTTAAAACGTCTGACGTTGTAAAGCCCCCCCGCACCTCCACCTCCACCTCCACGTGCCTGCCAACACGTCCGACTCGGCCGTCTGTCCTGTGTCTCAGAAGACAAATATTTGTCTGTGATGTCGACAGCAGTGAGCCGGTCAGTTGGTGAGCTCATCGGGTCCATGTTGAGACTAACTGGTGCTCCAACGCTGCAGTTACTGGGAATTATAAAAATACACCTGATGTTACTGGTGAAAAAAGTTCTGTACATTCGACAGTTCTAAAAAAAAAAGTTATTTGGATTTAAATGAAAATAATAGAAAGTATAGTTATAATATAAATGTAATATAGTCTAGTTATATTTATAATATCAGATTTAACATCTGTGAAGTCAGATAAAAATTAAAAGAAAATTGAGGGAAACATTTTTATAGTAAGAAAAACTGTGGACAAGGATTTGATTGTGATGGTTTGAATTTTGAAAAAAAAAAAAAAACATTGTACAGTTTTTTTTTATTTTGGCAAGAAATGTATTTGTGTGTGTGTGTGTGTGTGTGTGTGTGTGTGTGTGTGTGTGTGTGTGTGTGTGTGTGTGTTTATGTTTGCTGAGCATGTAGTTAAACAGGAGTCTCTCTTACACACTGCACATACCACATTCTGTACATGACCACACACACCTACATTCACACATACACATGATACAAAGTCGCACGCACACCACATGCATCTACTATAACCACAGAGCCCCCCTCACCCACCCACAACCCTCACTCTCTCACACACACACACACACACACACACACACACACACACACACACACACACACACGGATGTAGTTCATGTCTTTTTTAAAGCCTCGGGAGTCCATGTGCTGGAAGGAGGAGACAGTCAGAGAGAGCCATAGAGAGACGGAGGGAGGGAGGGAGGAGTGTATCTCCGGAGAAGGGGAGAGTTCAGTCCTGAACTCCTCAATGTGGATTTGAAAAGAACCGCTTCGCGCTCTGTTCACATCCAGGTCTCCAAACCGCATGAAACAGCAGCGCGTCGCTGAGGAAATGACTCTGAAACCCCAAGTGCTGTGACCTCCTCCCCTTCGCTTCTTCAGTCTCCCCTCGTCTCGGACTGGAGGCATGCCGCTGGAACACACCGAGGAGGGCTCTCCTCCGTCTGTCCGCGCGTCAATGGAAGTCTGGTGCGGCGTGAAGCGAGAGGAGAGAGCGCACGAGAGCCGAGGAGCAGAGGGGCGCCCGGAGGAGGAGGAGGAAGAGGAAGATTAGTGATGAACAAAGCCGAAGGGAGAGAAAACCAGCCACAAACAATGAGTTTACCGACTAACTGTGTGTATCCGGCCCCTTTGGTCCAGGATCGCTACTTCAAAGCGCGGAACGGGAATATCTGCGGGTCCCCGTGCGCCGTGAACCGGCCCATCGACATCGTGCAGAAACGCAGGCGGTAGGCCAGATGTGGTTTCAGTCCAGATGTTGTTGTTGCACAACTCTAAACACACCGCTGTCTATTCTTTTTGTTTAAAAGAAAAGTTTCACATTTTCTTCCTGTGACAAACACTCATGATATGTAATGAGTAGAAATGAATAGAAATGTAGAAACAACTTAAAATCAAAACAGCTTTACTTAAAGCTACTTAAAGCGTGTGGCATTCAGTGGTGAATTTTAGTGTATTTATAATCATCCTTTACCTCCTGTGGTAATATTTCTATAAGAAGCATAATCACAACAACATTAATGCAATCCAATAGGCCTACCTCAGAAACAAACAATGCAGATGTGAAATTTATAATAATATTAAACATACATATATATATATATATATAGATTTAGAACAGGGGGCACATCGGCATTAACTTCTTATTCGGACATTAGACATCATTACATTATCAAATCGGATTTTACATACATTATTGCACTCACTTAGTTCTTATTATGTGTATTGTTTCTACCTCCTCTACAATGTCTGTAGCACTCAGGACTGCCTTCATTATCACCATGTTTTCCACTGATCATTATATGTCATGTTTGTGATTACAGTATTTTTTACTTTGTTACTGCAGGGGTTCGTATTGTGTCAGGGCTGCTCCATGCCTGCACTGAATCTTTGCTAACTCAACCATTGAATCATTAATATTCAAAAGAAAAGTACAGCACTGTAACTTTCTTGTAGTGATCCTCCTTCCAGGTGCATTTGGAGGAAAAAGTGTAAATTTTGTTGTTTTTTTGTTTTTTTTACCCCTTAAATATTTCTGTAATATTCCTGATGAGATTCAAAGAGCTTCAGTGTTGCTTGGTGTGTAACATTTATCGTGGCCTTGTATCTATCTCTTCCTGATATTCCTATCGTTCACACTGAACTCACAGTACAGTACATAATGGTATTTAATGATATTTTCATTTAATCTCACAGTATCTGTGCGGTCACCATTTGCCTGTGCTACTCAGTAGTGGGTTTACTGGGGCTTGTTTGGTATTTGTACCATATGGTTGTAATATTTCATCACATAATGTTATGAGCGGGCAGATATAATTTACACCACTAAATCTGAGTGATTTCATCTAGAGCGATTTACAGTAGTGAGGTCAGTTTTCCTTTTCTTGGCAAAATGAGGCACAGAACCAGGTGTTAGAAGGTCAAGAGTCAGAGTCTGCATCTCTCAAGGAACAGATTGAACAAAATCTCTGCTCTTTACTTCTCAGAACTAAATCAGTTTAATCCAGGATGTCAACATAACGTCCGCAGTCAGCGTCGTCTATCTGCCAAGTTCCTTCAGAAGAAATGATGCCGTCAGACAGTGGAGCTGAGTTCAGACTGAATTAATGACTCAGTTTGGGTTTTTAAGTGCTGTTTTATTAGTTTAATGGTGAGTCAGACAAACTGGTGTGGTTTTAGAGGAAGATCTGAATCAGTATCAGTATCAGTACTACTACTGAGAATGCACATACAAAACAGCATGAACTCGTTTCACTTGTTTCTTATCTGATGGTATAAACAATGCAAATTCAACTCACATTTGTATCTTCTTGTGGTTTGTCGGATTGCTTGAGGTGGTTGTGTTATGGATGACCCTCAGTGCCAAGTGAGTGCCGGGGTGGGGGGGGGGTAAGTTGTCTCATCTTGGAGTGAAATTGAAGTTGTAGATGCTGAAAATAGCTACTCTTTTTAAAAACAAACTAAATGAATAATGAACAAGGGTAATAATTGTAATTTTATTCCTGTTTTATCTTTAAAAACATTCAGTTCAAAATATTCCAAAAAATTGGTAGCCTGCATATATATTTTATTTCCATTTTCAAAGCATATGATGACGGACTGGAACTAATATAATTCACCCACCCTCACATATAACTACACACAACTCGCACACACACGCATCAGCAGATGAGTATACCTGAGAGTGGCTGCTGCCTTAAGAGTCACATAGGGCTGAGAATGACTAATTTTGCAGGCGGCATTTCAGAAAGTCATGACGACATTTGCTTTGTTGGGTGGGGAGGGGGATCAAAGTGTCTTTATAATGTCAACCCACCAATAAAAAGCCTTCAAAGGGAGATTGCTAATGAACGCCGAGTCCAGACGTATTTATAGGGCTGATGGATCAACCACATGTGTGGAATAACACAGCCAGAAAGCAGCGGAGAAAAGTAGAGAGCGCACTATAATTGTCCAGATCCCTGTAACCCTGCACCCTGTGTAGTTTCCATTAATTCCTAGATGGAAACATACCGCTCCCATCGTCATCGATTTACCTCATGAGGTTAGAGGTTTTACAGTTAGTTTTGGCAAAGAAGCATTCGTGTGCATCTGTGTAGATATTTAACTTCTGCGTTCAGGTTTGTGATGAGGCAGGGGTGACCATACCCTGTAAGTGTCTCCTCGTATTATGTCCTGTCATTAGGGTTGGGTAATAAAAAGATAATGAGACAATATACATTTCTCACCTATCAGAGTAGTTGCAGTACTGTTTATACTGTGGAAGCTCTCACTTTGATATCTATGAGTGTATTAGATCATTGAGGACAATTTTCAGGTTAGAGACTGTCACATTAGTGACATCACAGTTTTCCTGAGCCCAAGGTGACGTCTTCACGTCTTGTTTTGTTCCAGTATTTCGTTTTTGATGATATAAAACTTAGAAAAGGAGCAAATCCTCATCATTGACGAGATGGAACTGGAGCTGCAACAGTCAGTCGATTAATCATTAGTCATTCGACAAAAAAAGAATTAACAGCTATTTTGATAATCAATTAATCCTAATTTGTCAAGCAAATATTAATATTTCATTTCATTTCATCTTTTATAATGTGAGGAATCACTGATCACTGATTTACTCTGTTTTATATCATTGCAAACTGAATATCTTTGGGTTTAGGTTTGGACAAAACAAGACATTTCAAGACGTCACCTGGGACATTTTTCTTAATTAATTTTTGATTTAAAAGAAAAATCAACCGATTAATCAATTAATTGAAAATATAATCAACAAATGAAACTATATTAAAAATAATCGTTAGCTTCAGCCTCCAGATGGAACCAGAGGAATTGATGATTGACTTACAACAATTATTTGATTATCAAGATTGTTGTTAATTAATTCACTGGCTGTTAACTAATCAGTTAACTGACTAATTGTTTCAACTCTAACTGGGACGTACTGGGAGATGAGATGAGCTGTTTTGTGACAATTTTAGATTTTTATGCGTTTTTTTTTTTAGTTTTTTCCCGTCAATGTCACAAAAGATCCTGATTTCTCAGGTTGCCTCTTTATTTTACCGGTTTCAGCAAAACTGTGCTTCCTCTTTGGTCATCAGTTTCATTTAATTTAAAATGATATGTGCAGCGAAAGAGGATTTCATCCATGTCAGCCTCTCCTGCCTCCTGACATACTTGGCCTGTCCAGCTCTTGTCATGAGCAGATCTGCTTCCTCAGTGGTGATGATGAGGCCTGATGTCAGACTCTGACTTACTCATCATGTTTCACCTCCCAGCAGACATCACTGATGTCAACTAGACACTGGCTCACACTGTGAGAACGGCGGGTCACAGCTCATCAGTCTTGCAATAATAATAACAATGACAATGTTTCTGCTTATATTCATGGAGCAGTGACTAACATTACCCTGCGCTGAAACATCAAAGCAACACAACAGCTCCATCAGAAAATGACTGAAAATGACCTTTCAGTGTGTTTGAAGTGTCATGTGTAGATTAATATAATCTAATAAATTAGAGGTGCGATGTGATATTTCTTGAAAGTGATGACAGACAGGATTTAGTTGCTGAGGTCAGAGGCGTTTTGCTCCTGGCGTGTCGGTGGCAGTTGTGGTGAAATGTCTCGTGTATGTGCAGCCTTTTGCTCTTCGCTGCACTTCACATGTCGCAGTTCATTGTATTTCCACAAAAAAACACACACACACACACACACACACACACACACACACACACACACACACACACACACACTTCACTGAGACTTAGTTTGTGTTTTAGTAAAAATCTTCTGATTGTTTGAATCGCTGCCCTTTTTTCCTGCCATGCAAACCACAGTTTGATTTTTAAATTGCCGTTTCCCACTGTGTTTTGGCAAAGGGTAGTTAGTCATGTAGTTTGAGGAAGTAAGCCAATTTGTATTTTTAAGGTTGATGGGTTGGTTTTCTGATTTCTTTTTATTGAAGCTGTTGATGATATAATATATTCACATTTAACATTTTTGTATTCAGTGCCTCGGATGTATCTTCTCTCTCAATCTTGTCCCACTTTTACTGTTGGTGTCTCGACGAGGATTTCAGTAATTCCGTGTTTCCCCTAGAGGTTTATTGTGTTTCGAGGACAAATGGAAAAGTATCTGAAGCAGAATTTGAAGCACAGTTCTTCTCTGGCTTAACTTGAAGCTACATCTACTGTACAGGGGAAGAAAAGGCTTGAGAGCAGCTTTGCAAACTGAGCCCAAGGTGTGTAAAACTGATCCACTTACATATCTGCAGCAAAATTCTCCAACTGGGCCAACTTTCACACCAAGTGAAAACTTAACTAACCTAAGCAGAGCTATTTGGGGCGGCTGTGGTCGGGTGGTAGAGCAGGTCATCCACCAGTGCGAGTATGTAACTCTCCTTGGGCAAGATACTAAACCCGATATTGCCCCGGATGTATCATCGCTGCGTGTGGTGGTAGAAAAAGCGTCGTATGAATGTGTGTGTGTGAATGGGTGAATGTAGCTTGTAATGTAAACTGCGTCCAAGTGCAATCTGTTTATTTTCAGCAGCTGCTTCATAATAAAAGCCAATGAATATTTCTTCACCGAAAGGCTTTAACTGTGATGCAAACATGGTAGTGTTGAAATAAATGTTACTAACAACTGCAGCCAGTTAGCCTAGCTTTTAAACTGCTCTTTCTTTGTGTGCACCTCATTAAAACAGAAGAACTTTCCACAACACAACAGCTA